TTCGTACACTGCTTACCAAAGACTTTATACATGAAGTGGCTTGATGCGGGACTCAATTTGAAAGCATTTTTGTTGACTTGAGACTTGCCTTCGGACTTGGTGATAATGACTTGGGACTCGACTTGGATTTGAAAGTTGGCAACTTAGTTCAAACTCTGCCATGTAGTATGAGAAATCCCTGTGTGGGTTTTGGACCCCCATTTGGAGGAGGAAGTGGATATAGCATGCCATAAAAGGGGACTGATTAGGAGTTTGTTGAAATCAGATGGCAATTGACATCAACAAAGTGTATAGACAGTTGAGTTGAGTCAAGAATTGTCATCACAGTACTCGGGGAATTCCCATGCATGCTCCTTCCTCATCTTCAGTAGCCAGCGCAGAGTTCCAATACTGATGATACTGGTCACAATCTGGTTATATGTCCGTATTGCTTTTCCTCTGAGTGTAGTGATCCGACCAGACCCTCTGGTTACACTGAGGTGCCTCATTCTCTCTAGGCTATAATAATCTTGTTTCTCTACTGATATCCGTTGCTTGCACCCAAAGGGCCTTGAACACATCTGCCTTGTCATGTATAAAGTGTATAGATATTGCACCCTAGCTGTAAACCAGAATACAATGTGCCAACTGCTCTGTTAATGGTGAACACACAAGAAGAAGAAGAATTAGAAAAATAAATGTCTCATCCACTCAAGTTCTGATTCTTCTCCTTCTTAGGCCCTTGTTTTTCTCCTGCTTCTCCTTCTGTCTCTGTTTTTTCTGCTGTTATTCTCTGTTCTAGAAATCTGGTCAAGAAGCCACACTTCTAGGTGTTATTGATTTCTTTTTGCTTGCAGGTGACAATCCTTAATGGAATGGGAGTAACTGGGAAAATTGTTGACAAGGTCAGTTGTGTGTGTGTGTGATATTGTTGGCTGTCTGTTTTTGTGTGTAAAGTGTTCATTTTTGTGCGTGTGTGTGTCAAGAGCCTAGGTCCCTTCCCCCCCCCCCCCCCTTCCCAACAGTATTTAGCATTCAGAACACTTGTAGATTTTTTTCACATACTTTAGCATATGTTGTGATACATGATATGTTGTGATACATGATATGTTGTGATACATGATATGTTGTGATACATGATATGTTGTGATACATGATATGTTGTGGTGAAGAACGTATTGTGGGCGTTGGATGGGGGCAAAGGAGAAGGGGCCTCTGAAGATTGGTTTATTATTAACAGATTATATCTTATAAGGGGTATCTTGTGCATGGGGATCTATTTTGTTACCAGAATTTTAAATCTCAAAGAGATGGGATACATAATTTGGCTGTTAAATACACTTATTGTTTCACTTTTTAAGGCTGTGTTGGGCTGGGAAATCTTGAGCCTGAGTATTTGTCCTTTACATGACTGGTGTTGTCACCACGAATGATGCAGATTAGGTTTTTAGTTTAAGAAATCAGATACAAACGGTATTGCAGAATTTATTGCCTGGCATATTTCGCTGTGTCTCCATCATGGGCATACTGTAATAACATCATCATCATCATCATAAACCACTTCTGCAGTTGAGCAATTGAATAAAATAGAGGAAATAAATTAATCCCTGGCAGTAAATTGTGCAGCCTATTGTTTCTGCTTTTTTATTTTTCTTGGGTAAACATCGCTAGGGTTTTATAGTTTGTACCGTATAGAAAAATGTCCATTGCTTTACCAGGGATGCAAACTAGAATCTTTTAAAAAAGAGCCCAGTATTTGTACCACTCTGCCGGAAACTGCTTTATTTTGTTATTATCATCTCTAATCAGATAGAGAAGAGTGAAGCAAATAGTAGACTGATTTGGTCAAATGTATTTGTTTTATTGCCATTTTATTTGTTTAATATCTTCTAAAGTGTATTAATTTATTTGTGGTCTGATCTTTTTTACATTCTAAACTGATAAAGAAACATTTAGCATGTGGTAGACTGATTCGGTTGTTAGTATATCATATCTCAAAGTGAAGCATTTGTTTTATTTGCATGGTGATTTGATTTGATTGTTATCTTGAAGAGGTGTATTCATTTATCTGAGTCCTGATTTCTTCTTCTTCTTCTTCTTCTTCTTCTTCTCCTTTTCTTCTTCTTCTTCTTCTTCATCCTCCTCCTCCTCTTCCTCTTCTTGTTTGTCCTATTCCTCATCCTCTTCTTCTTCTCTGTCCTGTTCTGCCTTTCAGCATCAGATTTTGAAGAGGTATTGGGATATGTGTTTTGTAGATGCTTGCATTTATAGTCTTATTTATTCCATCTGTCGGTCGGGTATATGCTCGACTTCTAGTTCTGCTTCCGTTGTGTATAAGTGATGACAGGGCTCTGTGTGATGCAGTGTCTGGTGGTAGTTTTGACACGTGTCCGAACCATTTGATCTGTTGTCTCTTGATGTGGTTTAGTTAGTTGTTTGTCATCAGTATATTCCAGACATGTCTATAGGTGCTCAGATCCTCTTCTCAGTATTAACCCCAGCACCCGGTGGCTAATAGTACCCTCTCTTTGTTGATTAACAAGTCACCATTTACCTCATCGAGGTGTTGGGGGGAGATGTAAGGATTTTTTTCTAATGCATTGTACTAGTTAGTGTTCATTTCTGTAAGGTTGCTCCTGATGATGTCGCTTCATCTCTTACGTGGTCTTTCCCTTGCTCTGTATTCATTATATTTCTTCTGTGTGGCAGCTGGTACCAAGCATTTTCTTCAGGTGGCCAGACCATCTCATTTGTTGTTCTTTAATTAATTGTAAGACTGGTTTCAGTTCTAGTCTTCTTCTAATTTTTTCATTTCTGATTTTATCTCTTCTTGTCACACCGGCAGCTCTGCTAAGGCATCTCATCTCTGTTGTTACAATCTTCCACTCATTAGTTGTGGTAAGGGTCCATGTTTGGCACTGGTAGCACAGTGTCGAAAATTATGTTCAATAAATTAAAAGAAAAGTTGTGAATTATTTTTAAAATGCAGTTTTTATTCAATATTCAACATTGACATACATAGAAGCTAAATATGTAGAAGAAAGTCTGTAAACGAAGATTATGTCACAGTATATTATTCCACTCAATCTTAGCCTGTAATCATAAACATATCCACAAATTGATGTTATACAGCCACATTCTGTTCTTTCAGCTGTAAGTAAAAGTTAGGGATCCATTTTACGCTAGTGGCTCATCTGACATATCACTTCATCATGCCGGTGGCTTTTTTCCTGGACTGTTTATAACCTGGGGCCCATTTTAGGCTGGGTCGACCTGGGAAATTGTAGATATAGATGACCATGCTGATGCCAGATACGTTGAGCACCAGTAGTAGCAGCACAGTAATACCACTCAGAAGGCAGGGGTTTGATGGTGTGCATATAGCCCAGGGGTTCTCAACCTTCCTAATGCTGCGACCCTTTAATACAGTTCCCCATGTTGTGGTGACCCCCAACCATAAAATATTTTCGTTTCCACTTTATAACTTCAGTGGATATGTGTTTTCCAATGGTGTTAGAAAGGGTCATTCGACCCCCAAAGAGGTCGCAACCCACAGGTTGAGAACCACTGATATAGGCAGTATGGTTAGGGGTGCTTTATATCTGTCCATGCTGTTTCCAGCATTGCTGTCCGGATGTGTCCAGTTACTGGCCTCTTGTTGTGATTTACAGCTAGGTTGCGATTTACAGAGCTGGCTTATTCATTTGTGGACTGTTGTTCCTCACCTCGTAGGCAGACACCATGTGAATTAGAAGGAAAAAGCCCCAATTAGATGTGACTTAGTGTTTTACAATAGGGCCCTGGAACCCACGGGTGATTTATCAAAACCAACGCAAAATGATCTACTACTAGATCACCTGCCAGTTATTTTTTTAAATCATAGAACTATTTTCATAATCCTGACGCCAGAGATGCCGACACAAGTAGGGCAACAAGTGATGCATTTTTGTTGGATTTGATATGAAGAATGAGTGAAACATGTCTTCTTTCTTAGTGTACAGACCTGCCTCAAGTAGGTTCTGGGAAATGTAAGTAAAACATATTGGGAATGTGAAAATTCCTAGCAATAAATAAACACAGAGACCAACAATAATATAACAGGCTATACTGTGATTGATTTTTTTAACAAAGCATACGTAAGTCAGAAAGACAAAGCTCAAGTAAACAAATAGGAGCATATCAAAAACACATAAAAGGACCTCACATCTAGGACTGAGGAATGAAGAAATAGTTGTACACAAATGAATTTAATGGTAAATATGGAATCTGGTCATAATGGGGAATCGTCTAATACGGTAGTTCTCAGCCTTCTAAATGCAGCCACCCTTTAACTCTTTGAGTCCCAAGGAACGCATCATACGTTCATAGATTCCTACCTAGAAGCCCAATGAACGCAAGATGTGCCGATTTTATGACTTTCTTGACTACCCTTGGGCCTGTGATGCTAAACCCTCTGGGACTCAAACAGTTAATACAGTCACTCATGTTGTGGTGACTCTCAAAAATAAAAATATTTTTGTTGCTACTTCATAGCTTCAGTGAGTATGTGTTTTCCTAAAGTCTTAGGCAACCCCCCATGAAATGGTTGTTTGACCCCCCAAAGGGGTCTAATAGTACTCATCACAGACACTCTTGATCTATGCTGATGAAGGTTTTCTAGCCACAACACTCATTTTCTTATTCCTGATTGTGTTTTATTGGGAAGCTGATAAGATCTGCTTCTAGTTTACATTGATTTGTTCATAGATACTTCTAGAATAAGTAATGTAGATGCCCTTGATTTGTTCATAGATGTTTCTAGATTATGCTGAGTGATGTGGATGCCCTTGATATTTGTTCATAGATACATCTAGAATATGCTGAGCAGTGTAGATGCCTTGTATAGTTTATCGCTAGTAGGCTCTGTGCCCTCTCCTTTGTCTGGAAGTAACGATAATCTTACAATGCTCTCTGAACCCAGCACTGTGATTTTTTGTAGGTACTTCTACAATATGCCCAGTGTGGTAGATGCTTCATATGGGTTATCGCCGGTAGGCTCTGCGTCGTCTCCACTGTCTGGAAGTAAAGATAATCTTACAATGCTCTCTGAACTCAGCACTGCGGAAGCCGTAGATGATTGGATTTGCCACGGTGCTGATGTAAGGGCAGTTGTATGCCAGGTCCATGAGGATTCTCTCAGTATTGGTTAGAATCTGACTGTCCAGCTGAAGCGACTTAGTGAGAATGAGCACAATCAGGTGAGGCAGGTAGCTGACAATGAACACCAGTGTGATAATAGCAAACACCCGGTACATCTGCGAGGAGATGCGCTCGCTGTTGCCGCCGGACGACATGATGGACATGCGAGCCAGGTGGCACTGCTGTTGATACTGTCTGCGGCGCTGTTCAGCAGAGTCCTCGCTATAGACGTGGTTCTTGTTTTGAATGTCTGTTTCAAGGGTCACTGGACTGCTCATTGAAATTCGTCTGCTGTCATTGTCAAAAAATTTTTTCAGCGACTTGGCCACCATGACGTAGAAGATGATCGTCAGACACAGAACAATCGTAAAAGCCGACAGAAGAATAAATGAAAAAACGGTCTGATAGATTTTCCCCTCGTATTTCTGATCATATCGGCAGATGGTGATGTTAATGACATGATCGCCAATCTTCACTGGGATGTCCTTTGGTCCGTTGATAACAAGTGTGCAGACACTTAAAAGAATGCAGAATAAAACGATAACCACGAGCGCCAGTTTGGCCATCTTCATTGTCAGACTTGGCTTCAAAGGATGGCAGATCTAAGAATGAAACGGTGAAAATGGTTTATATGTCTGGCATTTTATACATTTCTTAAGGCAATAATAATATTATCATTATAATCATCATCATTAACATAAGCTATTTAGCCTTCACTTATATTGTTGACATCTTTCCAGACAGTAGTTCTGTGTTGTACTATAGGAAAGCATGAGTATTGCAGCCCGTGGAGTGGTCTGTGTGACTAGCAAGACCCGCTTATGTTAAGAACCACCCCACCTTACACATTTTCTAGACAAATAGGAGTGGAGCTCAGGGGGGAGGAATAACCCTAGTTTAGGAGCATAATAACAATGCGTTTAATGGCAAATAAATATAATAATATATTTGAAATCATACAAAAAGTTTAAACAAATACTTTCAAAGAAAATTTCTGTACATGGTTAAAGAGTCCCACTTAGCCCACGTACAAAATGTTTGTGCGAGGGGGGCGCTAAAGGGGCCCTAACCCCCAGGTTCCGGCACCACTGCATGAAACTCCGTCCTCATGCCCAGGGGGAGTAAATAGAAAGATAACAGGAAATAGAAAGGATGTAGAGATGAATGATGAACTGATGTCACTGCACTCAGGACATTCCGACAGGTACTCTGTCTCCTTCTTCAGTAGCCACGAAGAGTCCCCTCACTGATCAGTTGCAGCCTGATTAAGTGTCTGCCTGTCTTGTAACCTGACCCTTCCAGAACCTCTGCTGACTCTGCATTGACTTACTGTCTCAAGGTATGGATATTCATGAAACAGAAGAGGAAAAGTCCTAACAGTAAAGAGCTCAGTCTCACCTTTCTGTATCTCTGATAGGCTATAAGTGTCAGCACACAGCCGCTGATGAGGCTGTGGGAATACACTTGGAAGTGGGTGATCTTGCACAGGGTGTTGAGGTCCAGCCTGTCCTCGTCCAGGGGTCGCACTTTGATGATGGCGTCCAGCAGCATGGTTGTGAGTGCTGTGATGATGTCTAGTCCAGCCAGAGTGGTCACGAAGAAGGAGAAGACACTGGCCTGAGGAAAACACAGTAGAAGGAGGTCACACTTGCTTTCTAGATAGTTTTTTTTTTTCAACCTGGGTCACTTGATTTCAGTAATATTTTTTTACTGCTGGATCAGTGTACAACTTGGATAACAACAGGCAAATTTAGACTTTAGTTACTTTCGTTTACAACAAGCAGGCTTAGATCAACAAAAGCAGACTTCAATGACAACAAACAGACTAGGTTTACAACAGGCAGGCTTGGATCAACGAAAGCAGACTTCAATGACAACAAACAGACTAGGTTTGCAACAGGCAGGCTTGGATCAACGAAAGCAGACTTCATTGACAACAAACAGACTATGTTTACAACAGCCAGGCATGTGTAACAGGTTGCAAACTTTGATTAAAACAGACAGGCTTGAATTATAACAGGCAGATTTGGATTACAACAGGCAGGCTTGGAATACAATAGCAGACAGATGTGTTTGGCACAAGTATGTGTAGAGTTTACCAAGCGGGTGTTAAGTACAGCAAACACATGCAGAATGTGGCAAGCATTAGTAGAGTATGACAAACAGATGTGGAATACAACAGACAAATTAAAAATACAGCAAATCATCATCATACTGTTGTGCCATTTTGTGTCAGACAGGGCTCGCAGCCTAGTCCTTCTTTCTGATTTATCCTGTGCAATTCCTTTTAATGTCATGAATGGAATCTAGTCCGACACCTTTGGCCTCTCTCAGCAACTTTGGTCTTGTGATTTTTCTTGGACATCCGCATTTCTTCTATCTTAATTGTTTTAGTGGTTCTCCTCATGATGTGCCCAGTGTGTGTGTGTGTATATATATATTAGAGCTGTACTGAGCATTCGTTCGTATTCACTCCCGGGCCAAATAGTGGACCTAGTAACTATTCGGTAATCGGCCAAATACTTGTGGTGGGGCCGAATACGAATATTGGTTACCTTACACCTGCTTCTGCATTTACTGCTTTGATGCTGACAACATGGAACGATTGGTTTTGTTAAAAGATAATGCAGCTTCCGTGCATTAACTAAGCTGTCAGTGACAATTTCCAAGTTTAGTTACTTGTTATAATACTTAGAATACTTTCATTCCTAGTTATTGGTTACCACAGACTGACTGAAGGATGCAAAACATAAAATGTTTTTAAATGTTTTCTATTCTGTACTATATTTTATGAAGTAAAAGTTTAGCATACATTTGACATTATGAATGTTTTTTCAGATTTATTTTGTACACTATACGCTATTTGTATTTGTGTTTGGCTGAATAGTGATAATCACCTATTCAGTACAGCTCTTATACACACACACCTTGATGCCAGGTTGTAGTCCAGTGTCGGGGTTTTATGTATACCTTGTCTTTGTCTAATATCCTTGATTTTAATTCTGTTTTTAATCATGAATTCTACCAGTTTCCATCTCTTTATCTCCCATTCTGCTGATGTTCCATGTAGGCATCCTAAACATAAGTATATCTCGTTGACCTTTGAAGTTTGCCATCCAAGATCTGCAGGAGTCTGGCTCTGTTACCGTTATATCTGTACAACATTGCTCTCTAGAGTCTGGCTCTGTTACCGTTATATCTGTACAACATTGCCCTCTAGAGTCTGGCTCTGTTACCGTTATATCTGTACAACATTGCCCTCTAGAGTCTGTCTCTGTTACCATTATATCTGTACAACATTGCTCTCTAGAGTCTGGCTCTGTTACCGTTACATCTGTACAACATTGCTCTCTAGAGTCTGGCTCTGTTACCGTTATATCTGTACAACATTGCTCTCTAGAGTCTGGCTCTGTTACCGTTATATCTGTACAAAATTGCCCTTTAGAGTGTGGCTCTGTTACCGTTATATCTGTACAACATTGCCCTCTAGAGTCTGGCTTCTCTGTTACCGCTATATCTGTACAACATTGCTCTCTAGAGTCTGTCTCTGTTACTGTTATATCTGTACAACATTGCTCTCTAGAGTCTGGCTCTGTTACCGTTATATCTGTACAACATTGCTCTCTAGAGTCTGGCTCTGTTACCGTTATATCTGTACAATATTGCTCTCTAGAGTCTGGCTCTATTACTGTTATATCTGTACAACATTGCTCTCTAGAGTCTGTCCTATAGATCAGTATTCTTTCTTGTGTGGTAGCACTTGATTACACCACTGCTGGCTTGCTGGGTCATCTTCTTTTTCGTATAACTGTTGGCTACGAGTGGTTGTCCAGACATTTCTCTTGTTTCTTTGCGGTATAGAAAATGTGTTGGGAATGTAGTAGTTTTTTATATGTTAGAACATACATGGGAAGCTGTGCTTCAGCTGTTGTTGCTGATGCTTTCACTAGCATTAATACAAAATGAAGTAGTGATTTTTTTTTTAAAAAGTACATTGTGTCTATAATGCTGTAAATGTGAAAAAAGTTACCTTCACTCTGAAACTGTAGATGTAGAAGACCACACTGTTGCCAGATAGGTTGAGCACCAAAAGTAGCAACACAATAATGCCATTGAGAAGGCGGGGGTTGGTGGTGTCTGTATAGGCAGTGTGGTTAGTGGTGCTGTTGTATTTGTCCATGCTGCTTCCAGTGCTGCTGATTGAGTGTGTCCAGGTATTGGCTCCTTGAGGGATCTTGTGGATGTTGGGGTGGTGGCTTAGAATGCTGTCTATGGTGTGTTTGTTCTTGCTGATTTGTCTGCTGGTTGTAAAAAAAGACAAGTGAAGTTGGGTGGTCCCTGCTGTCTGTTTGCTGGTTCTGAATGAAGCAGGTGAGAAAAGGTGGTTCCCACTGCCTGTCTGCTGGTTCTGAATGAAGCAGGTGAGACAAGGTGGTTCCCACTGCCTGTCTGCTGGTTCTGAATGAAGCAGGTGAGACAAGGTGGTTCCCACTGCCTGTCTGCTGGTTCTGAATGAAGCAGGTGAGACAAGGGGGTTCCCACTGCCTGTCTGCTGGTTCTGAATGAAGCAGGTGAGACAAGGTGGTTCCCACTGCCTGTCTGCTGGTTCTGAATGAAGCAGGTGAGACAAGGGGGTTCCCACTGCCTGTTTGCTGGTTCTGAATGAAGCAGGTGAGACAAGGGGGTTCCCACTGCCTGTTTGCTGGTTCTGAATGAAGCAGGTGAGACAAGGGGGTTCCCACTGCCTGTTTGCTGGTTCTGAATGAAGCAGGTGAGACAAGGGGTTCCCACTGCCTGTTTGCTGGTTCTGAATGAAGCAGGTGAGACAAGGGGGTTCCCACTGCCTGTCTGCTGGTTCTGAATGAAGCAGGTGAGAAAAAGTAGTTCTCACTGCCTGTTTGCTGGTTCTGAATGAAGCAGGTGAGAAAAAATAGTTCCCACTGCCTGTCTGCTGGTTCTGAATGAAGCAGGAGAGACAAGGGGGTTCCCACTGCCTGTCTGCTGGTTCTGAATGAAGCAGGTGAGAAAAAGTAGTTCTCACTGCCTGTTTGCTGGTTCTGAATGAAGCAGGTAAAATAAGCTGGTTACCACTGTCTGTCTGATAGTTGTAAAGGATTCAAGGGAGCAAATGTGGTCCTCTTTGTCTGCTTGTAGTGAAGAATGCAATTGAAGCAGGGATCCACCTTAATGCTCTAGGCTCCTGGGCAGATAATTGTGTCTTGTGGCCTGTATGTAACTTTTTTTTTTAAATGTGCGCCCGTTCACACTCACAGCTGGTCCATTAGTGTATTTGAGTGTGAGGGTACTGTTATTGTTCAAAGTATTTAACAATTAATACTTCAGATGTACTTTGCTTTACTAATACTTCTTTTTAAGTACACAGCTAAGACTATCTGATTAGTAATTCAGCAGTGCTATTTCAAAGACACTTTATTAGCATCACCTTAAAGCCTTTGAACAGTACCACTGTGTAAATACATTGTTCGAACCATTGTACTAGAACTTTATCTGTACTAACACCACTACAGTTTAGCACTGCGATGTATTACTAGTATTACTGTTAATTGGTAAGTACATCACAAGTACAGTGCCAGCACTACTGCAGAAGTACTTTAGGACCATGTCGTAAGCATATTTCAGGGGTCACTGTAAAAATACTTGACTATATTAAAACTTTACGTGATGATTATTGTTAATTTCATCAGCTGTAATCTTACTGAGCCAGTGTTTGTAGTGTTTGGTTGGTAGGAGTCTGAAAAAAAAATACAAGACTATAATTTCAATCATTTTGTTATTGCCTCACATAGCAGCAACAAAGAGATATATAGTCAAAGCTTTCCTTATCTGGTGGTATGCAACAGTACACAGTAATGGCACCTTTTTAAAGGTATCATTTTGTTCAGACACTTTTTGACGAGTACTGGCACCTTTGTATAGACACTTTATGGTGAATACCGGCACTTTATTTTTTTTTCTAGGGAAAAAACATGTATATCATCATCATCATCAAGTGCCCTGCAGACTGGCGTGAGCGGTTATACCTCTCCACAATCTGCGGTCTTCATATTCATGTATCAGTTCGTCTGCTGACACCAGTCCATGCCATGAAAGAATGCTGTTAAGAAACTTCTCACGTTGTCTTCCCATGTCTCTTTCCCCCCACAGATCTTTCCAGTGGTTCTTCTTCTTCTTCTTCTTCTTTGTTCACCAGCTGTAGGAAACTGCGGAATGTGCTGGTTGTTCGTCCATTTGGACTTTGGTTTTGTGCCAGGACCTGAGTTTTGCGTGTACATCCATTTTACTGGCTTTTTTGTGTGCAGTTGGTTGTTCCTTGCCGCTCAGGCAGATGCCCTTTGACTTCAGAAGAAACCCCCAATTCGTCGACTCCTACGACATGTTAATTGGGCAGGCGGTGGCCCGATTCTTGTTCTCTCACAGTGGGATCCTGGAACCCGTATTATTCCAGATGTATTCATATGTTATTTAGCCCATTATTTTTGCTAGTATTGTTATTGTCTGGGTTAAAGAGATCACTGTCCGTCTCATAGTTCAGCACCTACAGTGTTAAATTTCAGCTTCAAGTTATTAGGCTGCCAAAGTTGTCCTTGTGTCGGTAGTTCTGCTGTGAGGTTTTCTTTCCTACCAAATTTACCAACGTTTCGGACTCAAGGCCTTCTTCTTCTTCTTTTACTCTAGTCCTGTTCTGTTTTTTAACGTCATGTTTTTGAAGAGGCGTCTGTGGTTTAGAAGTTGCGAATGCGCTTCGTAATTCCGCGGTGCCGGGTTCGATCCCAGATGCGGGCCTTGCGCCTTGGGTTGGTTTCGACAGTGGTATCGAGAAGCCGACCGTCCAAAAAGCAATGGCAAATCTACTGGATGTAGATTTGCCCAGAAAAACCACAACAGCCAAAAAATGCTGGGGTGATTCTGCAATGTCCTGTAAAGGATCCGCAACTAACTCTAACTTTGAAGAGGCATCGGGCGCCAGCCGTGGTATATGCCACGTTGATGCTGGTATTTACGGCATTGGATATTCTTTCTGTAGGAGCCTTCTGTGGTGTAGTGCCTAGACGCTTGCCGGCTGATCGGTAGGTCGTGGGTTCGGGTCATGGCGGAGCCGGACTTTATTTTTTCTTCTTCAAAAATCACATTGGCACCCAGGTCGACCCAGCCTTGAGTGGGTACTAGGTGCAAATCCTGGGAAGTAAAGGTGACCTGCATGATGCTGACTACATCACCCACCAAGTGCCGATTGGTTCTATGAAATATAGGTTTAGCTCTTTATGCCCAATGCGCCTGACGACCTCTAGTGATGCTTCCGTTCTGTCCAAGAGACAGGACTGTATATAAAGCACTGTCTGGTGATAGTCTGGACACATTTCTGAACCATTTGATTTGTCTCTCTTCTTTACAGCTTCCCACAATAGTGGAATTGTTTAAGTGTTGCAACTTGCGCACAAGACCAGATATACCTGATACAAAGAATACCATTGCGAGGTTCAATAAGTGAACACTGAAATTATTAGAGATCCGTCAGAGCTTATTACATTAATCAACTTATATAAATAATATGAAATAGTCAAATAATTACATAAAAGATAACTTTTCTACATTGTGTGTATGTTTGGTGTGATGTGGTTGAAAGGGGGGGGGGGGAAGGGGGCCTCAGTTCTCTTATTATTTCTACATGGGTGGGAACCTCAGTGGCCTTTTATTAGCCCACAGGTTCTGGCACCTCTGCAAATGTTGCCCTGTGTGTTACTCTTCTATACCAAAACCATGCCTGATCCCATTAGCCGAGAGATCGGGTTGATGAGTCAGAGGAATTTATGTAAACGTGGCCCGCTCGGTGATTTCAATTCGGTCAGTTTAGGGGGGAAAAAAAGGGAAGAAGAGATAAAGTCACCAGTGAAGAACTAAACAAATTTAGGCACAGAGCCTGTAAACAGTCGCGTGTAGTTCGTCAAAGAATCAAACGGTTTGGTCACCTGGTCTGACTGAACGAAATCAATCAGCAGCTAGAGCGTGCTACACGAGAACAGCTGGCTACATGTCAAGAGGCCGACCAAAAAATCCATGGGTCGATGGAGTAAACAGACCCAACAGAAATGTAACATGACATTAACACAAGCAAAACACAGAAAATGAATATCTGACTCCTCTCTGCGACGCTTCACGGGCATAAACAGTAGGACAAGAAGAACTTTTTTTCAAAACAGGAAGTGGACATCGTAAAATCTCAGCCACTCCTCCACCTCCTTCCTCTCCTATTCTCGTCCGGTGCGACAGGATATATCAGCTATGTCACGGCGCTTTGTGGTGGGATGATCAGCTCATTTCCTTACCGGATTTCCGTCCCAGAAACAAAACAAAAAATATCAAGTAATACTTAGTGGTCGCCCGTTTGTTACCAGGACATATATGGGAAGCAAAGAAGAACGATATCACATCCGCCATGCCTGTCGTAAGAAGCGAATAAGGAGGGTGTCGTGTTTATTTAAGAATCAACATCACAACACTCAGGGCATTCCCATAATCTGTCCGTCCCCATCTTCATCAGCAAGCGAAAGAGTTCCGATTCCGATGGCACCAGTAACAGTCTGATTGTATATCCGTCTCACCTTTCTCTAGGTGTTTATCCTCGGCCACATCCCCTGGTCACTGCTCACGGCACTCTTCTCTCAGACTGTGATGATTCATTCGTGGCTCCTCACTGTTCGCTCGCCCCCTCAGGGTCCTTACAACATCTAGCTTAGTCTGCCTCAGTTCACCACCAAGTTGCGCGGAACCAGTCAGTCTTTCTGCCTGTTCATTTCCCGGTACACCCGGACCCCTAAAGCGATGCTTGCCACTCTTTACGTAGCTTACCGATCTCCACTTTTCTCAACATGCTTTGTGAGTAGTTTACAATGACGACGTTTGTAGAGCTGATTAGAGTGACCGTTTCCACCTCTATTCGCAAACTAGATGTTTCTGATATCTTATGCCAGGATTTGCTGCACTAAGCGACGTACATTCGTTTTTGCTAAGAATCCATGAACTTCCTCTGCCTCTCAACGCCGAGCCACCTGTATAGAAGATAATCACATCACCTCGGCGAGAACTGTCATGAATCAAAGGACGGGCCCAGTTTTAGAAAATGGACACCAGTTAATTTTCGGGGAAGAACATCTGTTCTAC